CCGCACTCCAGTCTGGGCGACAGAGTGAGACTCCAATTCAGAAAAAAAAAAAGGTTTTATATTAATTATATATTGAAATAGTATATTATATATACTGTGTTAAAGCTATTAATATATGATTTGCATTTTATTTTTATTGGACAGTGATGATCTAGAGTGGAATCACTATTTCATCTCCCTTTACTTACTACAATACACAGTAATCTGGATTTTTTACTTTCAGCCCTACTCTATTCAAATTGCTTTTGCTAAAGTCCCTGGTGAGTGCCAATGAACATATTTTAATCTGTGACATGTGACATTACTGACTTTGCTCTCCCATTATGTATCTTATCTATTTATATACTTTTTTCTATATTTTTTTAAAACATGCTCACTGCAGAAATCCTAGAAACATATAAAGTACAAAAAAGATAATTAAAATCACCCATTAGCACACCACCTAGATATAACCAGTAACATTCTTTCTAGTCTTTTTTTACTTATAAGGAAACATTTTAAAAGTTAAGTTTTAGCCTCAACTATTCTTAAGCAACTCAAGACTATCACATTTGGAAATCACAACTTTATAGTAGTAAATGCCTAGAAAGTAGACTGAGTCAATCTTTCAGCAACTATATTTCATAGTCCATATACTATTTTGTAGTCTATGTTAATTGCTATACTGTGGATATTTTCCCGTGTTTTTTCAATCCTTTTCCTTTTACTGCGTTACTTCTTAATGTGTTATACTTGATCCAACCAATCTATACTAATCATAAATAACATTACAATAAAACTACATACATTTTCATACACATTCATAATTTTATGCCCACCTGTGATTATTCCCTAAAGTTAATAATTTCTAGAAGGTGAAAGAGTAAAGAAAACCCTTAAGGATTTTCATTTATATGCAAAAATTGCCTCCAGAATGACAGTATTCACTTTTTTTTAATGATTTTTTTTTTATTATTATAAAGATGTGGGGTACAATTCAGGGTTAGGTATACAACGTTGATTATACAGGTACCCTTGTTGATGAGGTATGCCCCTCCCTCCCCTAGCAGTTTCCCTCAACTGCCAATCCCACCCCCCACCCCCAACAGTTTTCCACTACTGCCAATCCCTTTTCTTATAGTATTATAATTGTTCAAGGTCTGCTTATGAGTGAGAACATATGGTACTCTGTTCTTTGTTTCTGTGATAGATCACTGAGTATGATCGACTCCAGATTCATCCAAGTTGCTGTGAAGTCCATATGTTTGTCCTTTATGGCTACATAATATGTACCACATTTTTTTAATCTAGTCCAGCTTCGATGGGCAATATGGTTGGTTCCATGTTTTTGCTATTGTGAATAGAGCTGCAACAAACATATGTGTATAGGTTATCTTTTCTGTAGAATGATTTGAGTTCCTCCGGGCATATTCCCAATAGGGAATTGCTTAGTCATATGGAAGGTCAATTTCTAGTTCTTTCAGAAATCACCACACTGTCTTCCAAAGAGGTTGAACTAGTTGATTGCATTCACTTTTATTCCCGGGAACATAAAGGTGTCTCTTTTTCTGTATCATTGACAATCCTGGATATTATCATTCTTCTTAATCTTTACTACTCAGTATTTGAAAAAAAATCTTGCCTTATTTAGTAGTGTGATTACTAGTGAAAAACATTTTCCATGTGTTTTTTGGCCATTGTATTCTTCCATTCATGAAATGTCATGTTTATTAACCAGTTTTCTATGGTAAGGTTCTAATTTCCTTTCATGTTTTGATAGGGGAATTACATTGTATTTATAATTAATTTTTCAAGAATTGACATCTTTATAGCACTGTACCATTCAGAAACACAGTATATCTTTCCACTTATTCAAGTCTTTTGCCATTAAAGTGGTTCAGTTAAGTTTTTCTCCCTTAGTCCTGCACATTTCTTATTAAATGTAATAGTAGGTATTTTATACATTGTTGTCAATCACAAAAAAGATCCCTTTCCTTTCTTTTTTTTTTTTGTGAGAAAGCAGGATTTATTGAGAGGACAGAAAAGCTCCCATAGCCGAGGGGACGTGAGTGGGTGCCCAAAAGAACCCTTTTCTAATATTTCATATTGTCATTCTTATCATTACAGAAAGTTACTGGAGTTTTAATACTCCCTAATCAGCTATCTTATTGAACTCAATTATTAGTTCTAAAACAATTCTAGTCTTTCAAGTTATTTCCTTGAGTTTCTGTGATGTCACCCACAAGTTGTATTCTTTCTTCTCTTTTTTCATAATTACACCTCAATTTTTAAAAAAAGTTCTTAACACAACAGTCAGAAATTCTAGAGAATCATGCTAAGTAATCATCATGCTAGTAGACATTCTCATATTAATTCTGACTTTTCTGATGTCCTGAATGATATCCTGTATTATGCCACAAATGTGCAACAGGTAACAGGCCTTCCAATCAAAAAGTTTCATGGTAAAAACTATTAAAATATTCAAGTTTTCTTTTTTTCTTTTTAAATATAAGTCGAGAGCTTATTTGTGCCAAGTGTGAAGGCTGCAACCCCGAGAACATAGATTCCAAGTTGTCCTAAACATACACACTCTCAAGTTTTCTTTATTGTAGGATTTCTCAGGGCTAATACGTGTCATTCCCAAACTTCTCTCTCAAACCCTTTTGTGATGTCCCCATTAATATTTTGAGTTCTAGCTGGGCTTGGTGGCTCAGCCTGTAATCCCGTGCCTTTGGGAGGCTGAGGTGAGTGGATTGCCTGAGCCCGCGGGTTCGAGACCTGCCTGGGCAGCGAGACCTCATCTCTACAATAAATAAAAAAATCAGCTGGGTGTGGTAGCGCATGACTGTAATTCCAGCTACTCAGAAGACTGAGGCGGAAGGATCGCCGGAGCCCAGCAGGTCGAGGCTGCGGTGGCCGGGAGCGGCCACTGCACTCCAGTCTGGGCGACAGAGTGAGACTCCAACTCAAAAAAAAAAATATTTTGAGTTCTGAGTTTAACCTATTATGTTATGACAACAGCTGAAGCACTTACCAATTTACTACCTTTCAGCTCTCAATTCACCCTTTACTGCACTGCTTCTGATACTGGAACATTTCTCTCTTGCCAAATGGCATGATGTTAAACTCTATTAGTAGAGGGAGTTGCAGGGATTCTGGAGGAAGAAGAGGCTTTTCTTCTAGGTTTCAGTGTGAGTCTCAAAATTTGTTCCTGTGGCATAGGATACCCAGTGACACTTACCCCATCCCTCCACCAGGACCAGGCTGAGACTATGGTGAGGCTAGAGAGACACTCAGGACACAAAATTTGTGAGTGATACCTTAAACTTTGTGCCCTCAGCATGTCCAGCTCTCGTTTTAGGCATCACATGGTTCCTGGCCCTGTTCATCCTCCAGTAAATTGAAGCTGCACCACTTACACAGTTGGCTTCCCAATGAGTTTCATCAGCATGGTACCCCAGGGAACTTCTCTGCCATGCAGCAGGCTATGACTTTACCCTCTTCAACAAGGTTAGGAACTCAGAGGGAAGAGAAGGGAGTGTTCTTCCAGAGCTGCTCCTTTCTAAGGTACTCTGCCTCAATTCCAAAGGGATTATTACTTGTGTACTTGGAAGAAAGCCTGTCGGGTACAGTGGCTCACACTTGCAATCCCAGCACTGTGGGAGATGAAGGAAAGAGGACTGCCTGAGCCCAGAGGTTTGAAACCAGCCTGGGAAACTTGGCAAGACCTCATCTGTACAATCGATCGATAAATCAATCAATAAAATAATTAGCCAGGAGTAGTGGCATGTGCCTGTTATTCCACTTACTTGGAAGGCTAAGGCAGAAGGATTCCCTGAGCCCATCAAGTTGAGGCTTCAGTAGCCGTGAGAGAGTCATTGCACTCCAGCGTGGGTGATAGAGTGAGACTCTGACTCAAAAGAAAAAAAACAAAGCAAGAAAAGATATACATTTTAGGCCAAGTTCGGTGGCTCAGCCTATAATCTCAGCACTTTGGGAGGCCGACGCAAGTGGATTGCCTGAGCCCACAGGTTTGAGATCCACCCGGGCAACTTGGCGAGACCTTGTCTCTACAATAAATCAAAAAATTTAGCCGGGTGTAGTAGCACGCGCCCGTAGTTCTGGCTACTTGGAAGGCTGAAGCGGAAAGATCACTGCAGCCCAGCAGGTCGAGGCTGCAGTGGCTGGGAGTATGCCACTGCACTCCAGCCTGGGCGACGGAGTGAGACTCCAACTCAAAAATATATACATATACATTTTAAAATCAAATTATTGCAGCTCTATGTGTAATTTCCTTTTAGAATTGCACTCAAATGAAGATCAAACCATGCAAGGGGAAACTACACATTAAAAAGCAATCAAATCTAAAATGATATGTTGTTTTTATTTGTGGTAAATAATGAAATAGCTACCCTTTACTGCGCTAGGCACTGTGCTGAACCTGATAACGTTG